ACAGAGTAGATCAGGCACGACTGAGCAAACCTTAGACCACAAGTAAAACTAGAAATCAGGAGGGAGCAGAGGTCATGCCGAGCTAGGCTCTTGTACCTACTGGTCTGCGGGAGCCAGGGACACTAAGCCACAGTGTCTAAGGCAGAGTTCGGGACGGGGAGGAGCTGTGCCAAGCTGAGTCAGAGCATCCACTGGCAGGCAAGTGATCTATGGCTGGGAATAGACCCAGTTGGGGAGCAAAGGAGACAATCTTAGCTGGGCTGAGGTTCCCACAAAGAGGCGCGTGGCCTGGAAGGGGGGCTGTGTTCTGATCTGGAAACAGTTGTAGTCTCCCTTGGCACAAGTGTGGACTGGGATTGAATGCACCGAACCGGGCCGGACCCCAACACCCCCTGGTGTCCTGGAGGACCAGGGCAGATGTGGGATGGACTAGGCAAGGTCTCAAACCCCTACTGAGCCATGTGTGAGCCATACGTGGGTTTGGACAAACCATGGCTGGGCTGGAACATCCAACAGCAAGAACCAGATTGGGTGGAAGGCCAGTCAGGAAAAGCCACAGTTCCTGCTATGACAGGAGGTGGACTGAGTAGGCTTGGCTCATGGACCCACTGGTAAGCATGAAACCTGGCATTGGGAGAGGTTCTGATGGAGGAGCCTGGGCAACTCCTCTGGCAGGACACAGACCCGGCAGGCAAGCGCAAGAAACATGATAGGAAACAGCCCAGAAAAGGCCATGGAAAGCTACCCACTGGCATACAATTGGCTGACGTGGGGGCAAGACCAGGCTGAATCTGTCCACGTCATCCACTGGCAAATCCAGGCACCAGTGTGGGTCAAAACAGGTTCAGTTGCAACAAAGACTAGTGCACGATATGGAATGCCGAGGTGAGGTTGCCTGTACTGGAAGGGACCGCAGCGCCCAACCAGCCTGAGAACAAGAAAGAAAGTGGGCAGAGACGGCAGGGGAATAAGGGAGGGTTCCTTTGCTAGACAGCTACTTCTGCAGGAGAGCATAGGCTGGGATGGGGGCAGACCAGACTAGGCAGAGCTACCACACCTGTGCGCCTCATGTGGACTAGATCAGGGAAAAGCCGAGCTGGGCGGATTATTCCTACTGGTACAAACAAAATTAAAGTGGGCGAGGGTTATCTGGGCTTAGACGCAGCATCAACTGGAATCTGGGAGTGGGAGAGGCCTGGGAGGGAAATAGTGGGCTCATCCCTCTTGGGCTACCACTTCCACAGGAGGACATAAAACTAAGACAGCGGCTGGGGTGGAATGGGGTGTGGGACAGACTGGATTACTGCTACACTTGCTGGCAAACCAGGGTAGGGGGCGGGCCTGGTTGGGGTTATTGTGGGTTGCTCCAACTAGGCTGCAGCTCCCACTGGTTTATGTAAGGGCCAAGTATGTGATGGGCAGAACCAGGCTGAACTGCAACACCCATTGGTTCCAGGGGAAGTCGGGGCTGGAAACAGAACCAACCCAGCAATTGCAACCACCAGCTGATTGGAGCGATGGATGGTGCCAGGCCCTTTACTTGTTAGCACATACAAGAAGTTTCTTTGGAGATCTTCCTAATCTAAATGCTGGACTCAGAACCCTAACGAAGAAAAGAGAGAAGACAGAACAGGTCAACCAACCATCTCAGCTATGATGGACTATGTCAATCAGTGGATTTTTCAAAGACCTCATAGTGCTTGGAGTGGCAAGATTGACAGCGATTCATAACTGTTGCAATATCAAAACCACTTGAGCAAGAACCTCAGAGCATGCCCTACATCCGGGACCTGGGGAGGGTGGGAAATTGGGTGGGCCTTCTCCCTTAATACCCCCCCTTTAAACATGAAGGTAACAATATGGGAAACATACTAGTATTATCCACTTTCCTGTAGCCCTTGAACCTTCTTACCCTAATTAACTATGTAAAGAATGTCAAAATAAATTTTATATAAAAAAAAAAAACAAACCAGAGAATGCAGAAAATGAAGAGCCCAGACAGGCACCCGTGTATCTCCCCTACAGGTACCCACAGCTAACTCATGTTTCACAAACTGCTAAGAATATGCACTGCAGAAAGAACAGTCCTTTCAATAAATGGTGTTCAGAAAACTGAAGAGCCACAAGCAGAAGGGTGAAAGGAGACCCTCATTTGTCAATCTCACACAAAACTAACTCATGACCTAAGCTGAAGTCTGAAACCAGGAAACTACGAAAAAACTAAGCCTCTGCCCGCAGTGCTGGCATCCCATATGGGCAATGGTTCAATTCCCAGCTGCTCTACTTCCTATCCAGCCCCCTGCTTATGGCCTGGGAAAGTAGAGGAGGATGGCCCAAGTCCTTGGAACCCTGCACCCATGTGGGAGATGTGGCTCCTGCATCCAGACTGGCTCACCTCTGGTTGTTGTGGCCCTTTGGGGAGTCAACTACACATGGAAGATTTCTGTTTCTCCCTCAATGAGTCTTTTTTTTTTCTTTTTTTATTGGAAAGGTGGATATACAGAGAGGAGGAGAGACAGAGAGGAAGATCTTCCATCCGATGATTCACTCCCCAAGTGAGCACAACGGCCAATCCGAAGCCACTTCCAGGTCTCCCATGCGGGTGCAGGGTGCCAAAGCTGTGGGCCATCCTCAACTGCCCTCCCGGGCCACAAGCAGGGAGCTGAATGGGAAGTGGGGCCGCCGGAATTAGAACCAGCGCCCACATGGGATCCTGGGCGTGCAAGGCGAGGACTTTAACCACTGCGCCATTGTGCCGGGCCCTATGAGTCTTTCATGTAAAATAAGTAAATCTTGGGCCCTGTGCAATAGCTTAGTGGCTAGGTCCTCACCTTGCAAGCATCTGAGATCCCCTATAGGTACCAGTTCTCATCCCAGTTGCTATATTTCCCATCCAGCTCCATGCTTGTGGTCTGAGAAAGCAGTAGAGGACGACCCAAAGATGTAGGACCCATGTGGAAGATTTGGAGGAGGCTCCTGGCTTCAGATTGGCTCAGCTCTGGTTGCTGTGGCCACTTGGGAAGTGAACCAATGGATGGAAGATCTTTTTCTCTGTATCTCCTTCTCCATATACTACCTTGTCAATAAAAAAATTAAATATCTTTAAATAAATCTTTTTTAAAAAAATAGGAAAACAAAGGGGAAATACTTTGGAATAGGGTAAGACAGGTATTGTGAGAACCCCCCCCCCCCGGCACAATTAACAAAAACTGATATATTTCATCAAACTAAATGCTTATACCCACACACACACACATACCCCAAAAGACTGAAAAGACTGCACAATGGGAGGAAATATTTGCTTACTACATACCTGGTAAAGTGCTAATAAAAGCCAGACAGTGTAACTCAATAGCATAGGAACAAGTGTAAATCTAAAATGGTCAACTTGTTTCAGTAGACATTTTCCAAAAACCATGCAAACAGCCAGCAGCATACATGTAAATACACTCAATAGCACTGTCAGATAAAAGCAAGCAAAATCCTTAAGGAGGTGCCACGTTACTCCAGCCTGAGGACTACCATCATGGTCAGAGTAAGAGGACACAATGGAGGCAGGCAAGAGCCACCACAAAGGCCAAGATGCGGAATGAGTATCCACTCAGCTGCCCCAGGATGCAAAGCAGAACAACTTGGTCAAGGGAAAGCACCGAGATGCTTTCTGCTGCAGCTGGCCAGAGGAGGGACTCAGAATGAGGCAACAGAAGCAGAGAAGGGGGAACCAAAGCAGCTTTGTGGCTTCCTGTCGAACCTCAGGCTCCCTGCCTGTGGGTCTGGGGCGAGTCCCACCACAAGCACACCCCGCTGCAGTGCTGACAAGCCCTGTGCCTCGCGTCAGCAACAGGGCCCTCAGCTCGCCTCCCCGCTCCCAGGCCACTCTCGGTGGGAAGGTGGTGACTTCTTCCTGGCTTTTTTTTCTTTTAGTGTATGTCTCAACATATTAAAAGTAGCTTCCCAACAACAAAAAATGGCTATTGTCAAAAATACAAAACATAGGAACAGCTATCCAGGGCAGCAAGAAGAGACATTTGTATGCCGTCAGTGGGAATCTAAATTAGTAGAGCCACTGGAAAACCAGTATGGAGTTTTAAAATTGGGTCTGGCACAATAGCTGAATTGATGGGTGCCTGTTCACATCCCAGCTGCTCCACTTTCCCACCAGCTCCATTTGTGCCCCGAGAAGGCAGTGGAGGATGGCTTTGGGATCCTGGACCCACAAAGGAGACCTGGAAAAATGCTCCTGGCGTTGGATTGGCTCAGCTCAAGCCATTGTGGCAATTTGGGAGTGAACCAGCAGATGGAAGATCTTTCTGTCCCTCTGCTCTGTAAATCCAATAAAAATAAAGAAATCTTTTTTTTTACAAGATTTTATTTATCTTTATTAGAAAGACAGATAATAGAGAGGAGAGAAAAATCTTTCGTTCACTGGTTCACACCCCAAGTAGCCATAATGGTAAGAGCTGAGCTGATCCAAAGCCAGGAGCCAGGAGCTTCTCCCAGGTCTCCAATGCAAGGACAGGGTCCCAAGGCTTCTGGGCCATCCTCAATTGCTTTCCTAGTACACAGGCAGGGAGCTGGATGGGAAATGGAGCAGCCAGGACATGAACTGGTGCCCATATGAGATCCTGGCATATTTAAGACAATGACTTTAGCCACTAGGCTACCACACCAGGCCCAAATAAATAGATTTAAAAAAAAAAAAAAGGCAAGGAGAGGGGTGAAGGAGGAACACGTAAAGAAAAACCATCTCAATCTCTAAGTCTCATTGTAGCCTAGAGTTAACAGAATGGAAGACAGGGTAGAGGAGCATATGAGCTACCTCCATGCCGCCAGCCCAGCTCCTGCCCACAGGTGGGCACTTGGCAATCACTGGGAAAAACCTCCATGGCGTCCTCAAGTCCCTCAGGCCGCAGGAGTACTTACCTCTGCAGGTCTCTGGATACTCGTTTCATCCATATCATGTGGGAATAAGTTATGAAAGAACTACAACATACCTCAAATTCCACAAACTACATGATTTTATTTATAAAATTCAGCACTTTTTTTTTTTACCACTGCTCATGTCCTTCTAAATAGTCCTCAGTTATAACTTTCATTTTTGAAAATAAACCTCTTTAAAAACAAACTCAGCCAAATGTTACTGAGTATTTTAAATTGAAATCTCATGAGAATCAGTAGTGAACACTATGGAAAGGGGGGTTAATATAAAACAATGCAAAAGTGTTACAGACAATAGCTTATCAATATTATCTTCACTCCACTGGTGGGAATTTCTCATGCGGTAACCTTTATTCGTGAAATGATTTCATTTACAAAACTATTGTTCTTTGCAATCACTTCAGCTTTTAGCTGTCTTAACTTTATTGTAATGTTTTCTTCTGACATTTCAGTAAAGGGCACTTGCTTCACCTTCAGTAGAAACTCCTGAATAATTTTTTCACCTTGCTGAAAAACAAGTAAACATTCCATTAGTCATTAAAATGTCTTTAAAAAGTCACATTAGACAGCAATGAATTGCTCCAATAAATCTCCAGCTCAACACATCCCGCAATACTTACAGATCAATTTCATTAGTGCAAGTGTACAGTGACTACAACATGGAGCAAAGCCCCTAGAACTTTCCTTTCAGAGAATAACAAAGGAACTGAAAATTTAGCAGTTCCCAAACCTTTTAATACCACAACCAACATATACAGCTAATCTGGGAGGAGAAGGGATGATTTGTGAGGATGAACTCACAGTTTATAAATATTTAAAGTTAAACAGCCTTTACAAGTTCATACACATACAAAAGGGTATGCTTCTGTTTTGTTCATTTCACTGCCCCGTCATGTGCTTCCAAAGCACACGGCTATCACTTACTATGCAATCTCTGGAGCATTCCCTTAAGCTCCATTCCTAATCCATAAAAAGGGAATATTACCAACCTCAAAGGCAGTTGTGAGACCTAAATAATTACTAGGTATAAACTGTTTAGCAGAGCCTGGCAAACAGTAAGCACCAAATATACATTCATCATTGCTCATGGGGAATAACTGAGAAGCCTGCTTTTCACACAGGGAACTAACTGGTTCAAAGTACCTTAAAGGGGAAAAGTAGATGTCCAATTGAGGAAACAACAAAATATGTTTCTATGACAGAGTCAAATACGCTTTTTTCCCTAAAGATAAACTTAGACTAATACCAATGTTACATTCTTACCTTTAAAACTTATCAGAATCGCATAATTATCAAGTCAGATTTTAGGAATTATGTCTGTTTCTAACTGGACACCAGGAATTACGTTTTAAAACAAACAAAAACAAGCAAAACAAAAACAAAGCAAAACAAACAACCTCTTTGGCTTAGGACCAGGTAGCCCTAAGTGGTAGCCTAGAAGCTAAAGTTCTCACCTTGCATGCACTGGGATCCCATATGGGGGCTGGTTCGTATCCCAGCTGCTCTACTTCCCAGCTACCGGCTTGTGGCCTGGGAAAGCAGCCTTGGGACTCTGCACCCATGTGGGAGACCTGGAAGAAGTTCCTGCCTTCAGATTGGCTCAGCTCTGGCCCTTGTGGCTACTTGAGGAGTGAACCAGCAGACAAAAATTTTCTCTCTCCTTCACTCTATAAATATGACTTTCCAATGAAAATAAATAAATCTTTAAAACAAAACAAACAAGAAAAACCCTGCTTAATCCACCATCAGAACTATGTTTTTCTTCCATTAAAAATGTTAACACAAAGACAGCTCTGTATTTAGGATGGTGACTTTCCATAGCCAGCCAAGTATTAATAAACAATGATATACTTCTTGTACAGGTGCAACAGATTAAGATCTGTGTACTTTTTTTTTAAAACTATTGTATCAGGTATCTATCCTTCAAGTAAGAACACAAGTTCATCATGTAAAAGTTTTATGTGACAAGTGAAAAGCTGGCACAATATATGCTACAACAAGAGTGATCAGACCAGGAAGTGAATTAGGTAATTTCATTTTCATTGTTAAATGAAACTGGTAAGATTTTAAAACAAAGCAAACTTGGCATGTATCTTATGTGACTATCCAAATTTGACGCATCAGAGAGGTCCATTTAAGAATCAAGTCTCCCGCAAGAACCAGGACATCCTGCCCGTTGGCTTCTTTTTCTTTTTTCTTTTTCTTTTTTTTTTTTTTTTAATTGGAAAGGCAGATTTATAGAAAGGAGGAGAGACAGAAAGGGAGATCTTCCATCTATGGGTCACTTCCCAAGTGGCTGCAACAGGTGGAGCTGCGCTGATCCAAAGGCAGGAACCAGGAGTTCTTCCGGGTCTCCCATGTGGGTACAGGGTCCCAAGGTTTTGGGCCATCCTCCACTGCTTTCCCAGGCCACAAGCAGGGAGCTGGGTGGGAAGCGGGACTATTGGGATTAGAGCTGGAGCCCAAATGGGATCCCGGGGCATACAAAGCGAGGGCTTTAGCCGCTAGGCCATCGCGCCAGGTCGCTGCCAGCTTCTTGAGTAAACGTCGACTGTAGATCACTATGGCTCCCACTATGGCTCCATAGTGATCACTATGGATCACTATGACACACTGATTTATTAAATTTATCTCAGTCTGATCATAAAAGGGTAAGGATTGTGAATTGGGCTTTTGAATTTATTTATTTGTCTTTACCCCATATAAACCAAACAATTTAACTGGACTTGATATAATCACCTATGAGGTCATCAAAGATGTTCTTTGGACATCTACAGCTCCCTTGAATGACCAATTTTACCCCTACATTAAATTCCCAGCTTTTACATTTATACTGATACTTAAAATTCTTCTTGATCAGTTACATGTAATAGACACAGATTCTTTGCCATGCCAAAAACTGTAAATGAAACCAATAAGCAACATCCAGAGGTAAATGCTACAGTCATCTAGGAGAAACAGAACATGACACCTGCTGTGAGCTCCTTTACAGAACCCAGGAATGAACAAACCTCTCTTTCCAGGCAGCACTTTTTGGCTGCCGGCTCCATTTCATCACACACTTGTGAGTCTCCAACATTCTGAAACTCCTCCAGTTCCTGGGCTTTTTGCTTCGCACACTCAATCACATGCCTAGGGAAATTGGCAAGCTCTGCAACGTGAATCCCAAAGCTTTGATCACAAACACCTGTCAGAAATTCAGGGGGATGAGGAGGGAACAGTGCAAAGAGTCAGCAATTTCTATAAATGGGATTTACCATGCTCACTCTATCATTAGGAAACTTAATTTGGAACTATTTCAAACACATGAGCTAAATGTTCCTGAATAATTTAGATAAGAAATTTTAATTGAACCTACAGTGAAAAGTGACTGGCGTGGCACACTGTACTCTACCAGATTTCTTTAATAGGAAGGTAAAAGTGCAGAGGAAAAGTTAGATAAACAACTTCAAAGGCCTAGAAAACAGCATCTTAATTTGAAGAAAAAGTAATGAACTGAACATCTCTGGTTTTCTCATTGCATGACACACTAAAATAATAACAACAACAAAAAGTATAAGTGTCACTACATACAGTAGTATTTAATTCAAAATACACTGATCTATTACTCGTGACTGGTCTGTCCTCTGGATCTGCCCACATCACTCTCTAGAGATGACACTTGGGAAAAGTTGCTGGATAAATACATTGAAGGATCTGAAACGCTTTTCATGGAAAAGCTCCTTAATCATGCTTGTGAAACCTCATTCTGAAATGACAACAGACTTTTGACACAAATCACTAGTAAATTATAGACAAGGCAGCTTTTCTTCATCCTACTTTCTGGAAATAAACTGGGTCAAGACGTTTTTCCCAGGAATTTAGTACATATGATGTGTGCCAAGTTTACTATACAAACTTTGGTTTCTGCTTCAATAATATCGTGGAGCAGCCATAAGGAGATGTGCACAGGAGTTCGACCTGGAGCCGAGAGTTACGCTGGCTGAATATCGTTATCAGGATGCCTGGGTTTGACTCCTAGTTTCACTGGCTTTCTGCTAATGCACAGCTGGTAGCCAGCAGGTGACGGCTACACTAGTTGGGTCCTTGGTACCCACGTGGAATACTAATGCGTTCCTAGCTCCTGGTTTTTGCCTAGCTGAGTCCCAAGTACTGAGGGCAGTTGCAGGGCTAACCAGAAGATGGAAGATCTATGTTTCCCTTGACCTCCCAAATATATAAATCCTTAAAAAAAAAACAAACATATATTCTGAAGCCATTTCAAGGGCACATATAACAAAACATGACTAAAAAGCAGAACAACTTTTGGCTAAATGCCAAGTCCACCTATCTTCTACAGCAATAATAATGCAAACTCAGAAACTCAGAAGGCTTTCCACTTAAACGATAAAGGATAAAAGATCCCAGGCTCTGGATCTGCATCGCAGTGTAGCGGATTAGCTGTTGCCTGGGAGGCTAGCATCTCACTAGGGCCAGTTCAGGTCCTGGCTGCTTTATTTCCAATTCAGATTGCTGCTAAGGTTCCTAGAAAAGAAAAAAATGGCCCAACTGACTGTGCCCTGCCGCATACACAGCAGAAGTGGATGGAGTCCAGGCTCCTCCCTGTAACCTGGCCCAGGCCATAACACAGTGGCCATTTGCAGAGTGACTCAGCAGATCAAGATCTCTGTTTCTGTCCCCCTCTATCACTCTGCCAAACAAAGAGAGGGAGAAAAAGAAAGAGGAAGAGGAGGAAAGGAAGGAAAACTTGATCTGGGATGAAGAGTGCAGATTACCACTGCCAGTCCTGCAAGACAGAGAAACACAGATAATGCAGCAGTCTTTCTGATCCCAGACTGCTAATAGGTAAATGTGCTCTCCAAAAGCATCAGTGATCATAGTGACGGACACACAGCAGAAACCAGACAATGACTCCAGGTACAGGACATTGTATTGTCATGTTGTATTCACAGTGTATCATTGTTGTACATACTCACCTTTCTTCACTTGATAAAGCATGGTTAAGGTGTCTTCAGAGGTCAGTGCTGTGACATGTAGATTGTTAACTGTTGGTATATGATTGGCCAAGGCGGTGAGTTCGTGAAAATGGGTTGCAAACATGCAAAAAGAGCCAATCTTGGTTGCAATGTAATCTGATATAGCCCATGCTAGCCCAAATCCATCATAGGTAGAAGTTCCTCTTCCCAATTCATCTATGATTATTAAAGAATCTTTAGTTGCAGATCTGAAAAACATAAATCACATGTAAGCTTTCGATGACATAAAATGTAATAATGCAAAAAACAAAATTAAATGATATGGTGGGAAAGAAATGTCACTGACATATCAAAAGTTATTATCTTAAGATACAAAACTCAAAAACACTTCTTCAATAACATCATTAATTACTCATTTTCCGTTTTGAGATTAATTACCCTTTTAAAGGTTTCAACAAAACAACTCTTAAACTGAGATAAACATATACACAGACGTCATAAATACACACATCTGCCAATGCACCTCTCACCAGATAGTGATACAGCTTGTGACCTCCGGACACTAGAACAAGCTCTTACCTGAGGATCGAAGCGGTTTCCAACATTTCAGCCATAAACGTGGACACTCCTTTCAGCTGACTGTCACCAGCCCCCACCCGAGCCAAGATGCAGTCCACAATGGACACCTCTGCTGACTCACATGGCACAAAACACCCAATTTGGGCCATAAGTACTATCACACCGGTTTGGCGAATATACGTTGATTTACCTCCCATATTGGGCCCTACAATACAAAGCCAAAAAGCAAAATTACTAATTTTGTTCTACTACTTACCACTACTCCTATATTGGGCATTATTGATTAACCACCTAGATCACACACTGATCTGACATGCAAGAAACCAAATACGTGGACAAATTGGCACCTATACTATCCTTAATACAATGTCAATACCAAGGTTCTTCATCAAAGGGAGCACAAAACCACAGTGACCTGTCAGCTGACCCTCATCTAGAACTATACATGTACCAATCACTGACAGAATAGCTATCAGGCTAACTAAATGACGTCCAGAAAAGCAGTAAGGGTCTGATGATTTACACTGTTAGTAAATGCATCATTATGGTCACATTACCTGTATTCCACAATACAGCCCTAAGATCTGGATGTTCTTCAGGAAAATGTGCCCTTTACTGGTTGAGTTTACAATGAATCAATCATTTAAAAACTCATTGGGGAAACAGAATGCAATTAGTGACCCTTTCCCAAAATACTACATTTCTAGTATCTGATTTCTAGAAGTTTCTAGAATCTAAGATCTCTCAAAGACACCTGAGTCACACTGCACTAGTCTATACATAGATGTTTTCTTCATTTCACACAGTTCTAATCTTAAAAAGAACTGTGGGGAGCCCAGTGCAGTGGCCCAGCGGCTAAGGTCCTCGCCCTGAATGCGCCGGATTCTGGTCCCAGTGACCCCACTTCCCATCCTGCTTCCTGCTTGTGGTCTGGGAGGGCAGTCAAGGATGGCCCAAAGCCTTGGGACCTGGCACTGCGGGCGAGCCCCGAAGAGCTCCTGGCTCCCAGCTTCGGATCGGTGCAGCACCAACTGTTACAGTCACTTAAGGGAGTGAATCATCGGACAGAAGATCTTCCTCTGTCTCTCCTCCTCTCTGTTTATCTGACTTCACAATAAAAATAAATAAATATTTAAAAAAAAAAACTGTGGGAAATATTGCTTAATGTAAGTTTTGAGAGGCAATACTCGCTTTTAAACACCCTGAATCCCTGGAAACAGTTTTACACGAGAGCCCCAAATAAAGCTTTTAGCACCCCTTCAGATTTCTCCCTCTAAAACAAATTAAATAAGTGTGAATATGCATAATTAACCAGAATGAATATGCATAACTAACCAGAACATTCCTCTTTTTAATGCCAAGGACAGAAATGTTTCTTATCAATTTTATATACTTTTACTCCAACACTAAAAAAAAAAAAAAAAATTAAGGGATACTATCCGTTACTTCTGTCACTGAAGCCCATACACTCTGTGTGTGTGTTTTACCAGTAATGATGTGGAACATCTGTTTATCTTTTTCAAAGTGTACATCATTAGGAATAAATGCAACTTCATCTTGAACTTCAACACACGCATGTCTGGATCCTTTCAATATAATTCTTCCTTGTCCTTTCTCCAGGATGACTGGTCGTACGTACGGAACAGGTGCTCCATTAGACACGTGAGCAAAGCTGACAACAGCATCAAGCTGAGCCAACACATCATTGAGGGTCTGCATGGGTTCTACGTAGCCTATAGAAGAGTAAAAAACAGCATGAACAGCAGTAACGGGTAAGAAAAAAAAACAGATAAGACTTGTAAAAATAAAGATTAAATTTAACTTCCTACTTTAAGAACATGTAACTCATTTCCTAGTTAAGAAAGTTTATAAAGGGGGACTGATGTCAAGGCACAGCATTTTAAGCCTCTAGCTGCAGCACTGGGAACACCAGTTTCAAGTCCTGGGTGCTCTACTCCTCATCCAGCTCCTTGCTTGTGGCCTGGGAAGAGCAGGGGATGATCCAAACCCCCAGGACCCTGCACCCACATGGGAGATCAAAAACCTCCTGGCTGCTGGATCTGGATCAGCTCAGCTCAGCTCCGGCCATTGCGGACATCTGAAGAGTGAACCAGCAGATGGAAGATTTCTCTGTCTCTGTTTCACTCTCTCTATAAATCTACCTTTCACATAAAAAAGTAAATTCAAAAAAGAAAGTATGATGCCTTCCCTATCCAAACCCAGTAAAACAAAAAAGGAAAACTATTTGTGAAGAAATTAGTCAAGATTTAAAATATTAACAAGAAAAAACTTTCAAAAAAATACTGATAAGCAAAAATTCTTTTACTGTTCTCAATAAGAGAAAAAAAATTAAGACAAGCAGGAGGAAGTACTGTCTGAAACACACTCCCAACTTTAAGAATGTAAAACCAGGGCCCGGTGCAATGGCGCAAGTGGTTAAAGGTCCTCGCCTTGCATGCCCAGGATCCCATATGGACGCCGGTTCTAATCCTGGCAGCCCCGCTTCCCTTCCAGCTCCCTGCCTGTGGCCTGGGAAAGCAGTCGAGGACGGCCCAAAGCTTTGGGAACCTGCACCCGCGTGGGAGACCCGGAAGAGGCTCCTGGCTTTGGATCGGCATAGTATCGACCCGTTGCGCTCACTTGGGGAGTGAATCATCGGACAGAAGATCTTCCTCTCTGTCTCTCCTCTCTGTACATCCGCCTTTCCAATAAAAAAATAATAAAAATAAATCTTTAAAAAAAAAAAAAAAAGAATGTAAAACCAGTGTGGCACCTCCCAATCAGCATTAAAACAAAATATAGCACCCCCATGTAGCAGGCAGTCATGTAACTGTCACGGACTTTGTATGTACAGAACGACAGTAGGACTATTACCAAGGCTTAATTGTTTTCATCATTACCATGTGCACAGATTTTCAGTATGAACTTAGACCCCCAGTTATCACCTAAAAACATTTTCGGGACTGGCGCCGTGGCCTAGCAGCTAAAGTCCTCGCCTTGAACAAGCCAGGATCCCACAAGGGTGCTAGTTCTAATCCCGGCAGCTTTCCCATCCAGCTCCCTGCTTGTGGCCTGGGAAAGCAGTCGAGGACGTCCCAATGCTTTGGGATCCTGCACCCGTGTGGGATACCCGGAAGAAGTTCCTGGATCCTGGCTTCGGATCGTTACAGCACCGGCCGTTGTGCTCACTTGGGGAGTGAATCATCGGATGGAAGATCTTCCTCTCTGTCACTCCTCCTCTCTTTATATCTGCCTTTCCAATTTAAAAAAAATCAATAAATCTTAAAAAAAAAAAAAACCATTTTCAAGATTCTGCAAGCATTTTGCTAGAGTATTAATACTAAAAGCTGTCACATCCATGAAAAATACCGCAAACACATGCCAGACAGAGCAAACTACAACGCCACAACTTCAGAGTAAATTCTGATTGCTCAGGGAAAGAGGAGCTGGTGAAGACGCCTGGCGTCACACACGCTACCACACGGTCATAGCTCACCCCCGTCCTCACCAGACATGCAGGAGGAAAGTGCTCACAATTTCAGGAAAACACAAGATCATGAGTTCAATCAAGTGGCAGAAAATTTGACTCATTTCTTATTCCTTCATTTCCACTAAAAGTGACAAATATTTTGACAGTAAAAATTAACTCATGAATGAAAAAATTAATTTAATTCTTTTAATAAAGGTTTTTTTTTTTTAAGGAGAGCTCACTACTGCCTTGTAGCAATAGGAACTTGTAAGAACTAAACATCAGTAGAAAACTTAACATAATTATATACTGAAAATCAAGATTTTTAAATTAATGAATTAATTAATATGAAAAAGCAGCATGGCACAGAGAGAAAAAGACAGAGAGGTATTCCACTCCACTGGTTTCATTCCTCAAATGGCCACAACAGCCAGAGCTGGAATAGGCTGAAACCAGGGAAGTCCATCCAGGTCTCTCTCTTGAGGTGGCTGGGAACTGGATCTAAAGTGGAGTAACCAAACAAATGGGATGCTGGCCTCACATGTTGTGGCTTAACTTGCAGTGCCACAATGCTAAGATCAAACTTCTTTTTTTTTTTAAAAAAAAAAAGATTTATTTTATTATTATTGGAAAGTCAGATATACAGAGAGGAGAGACAGAGAGGAAGATCTTCCATCCGATGATTTGCTCCCCAGGTGAGCGTAACGGCCGATGCTATGCCAAGGGAAGCGGGGCTGCTGGGATAGAACCAGCGCCCATATGGGATCCCGAGCATGCAAGGCGAGGACCTTAACCACTGCGCCATGGCACCGGGCCCTAAGATCAAACTTCTATGATTATTATTGAGAGAGCGTTGGTCCATCCACTACTTTACTCGACAGCCCGGCTGGTATAAGACAAAACCAGGAAACAGCTCCACGCAAGAGCTTTCCCATGTTGAAGGCAAGGGTCCAGACACATGGCCCACACTTCCCATTGCTTTTCCAAGGCTGAAGAGAAATAGTACAGCCATAATGCCAGCAGTGCAAGTGGCAGCTTTACCAGCTACACAAGACGGACCCCACACTTTCTAACATACAGACAAAAATATATTCAATTAAAAATAATATTGGGGTTAGTGCAATGATAACAGCACGTTAATCCTATGCCCTGTGGTGCCACCATCTCATTTGGGTTAACATCCTGGCTGCTCCATTTCCCACCCAGCTCCCTGTTTATGGGAAAGCAGTGAAGGATGGCCCAACATCTTGGAAACCTACACCTGTATGGGAGACCAGAGGAGGTTCCTGGCTCCTGGTTTTGGCTAGACTCAGCTCTGGCCATTGTGGTCATTTTGGGAGTGACTAGCAGACAGAAAATCTTTCTATCTTGTCTTCTGGGTGTAAATCTGCAGGAAGGAATGGAAAAAGAAGGAAGGAAGAGGGGGAAGGAAGGGGGAGGAGGAGGAGTAGAAGAGAAATAAAGACAATAAGAAAGAACTTGACAGAAGCGTTACTGTGTCCTTCCTTCTGTATCACATTAGAAAGCTCAGAAATGCCACTTGTTGAACAACTGGTGATGCTAACTTTGACAACCCGGCTAACGTGGCAGCACAGAGATTACAGCCAACATCCAGACGATAGTGAGCAGAACCTTCTGGTGTAACACATCTCCACCCGACCCAGTGCTGAACGTATGTCTGCTCCATTGAAGAGCCATGCCTAAGGACCAAGCTGTACTATCGTTCATTTGCAGAAAATTAACTCTGGAAGTAGACTTTTTTTTTTAATTACATTGCATTATGTGACACAGTTTCATAGGCTCTGGGATTCCCCCATTCCCTCTCTGTGCCCTCCCACCATGATAGATTCCTCCACCGTGTTGCAGTATTACAGTACAAATTCAGTCAAGATTCTTTCTTTGCAAACATATAGAAGCATAGACTTCAGCATCTTATTGTCCAGATAAATTCAACATGGCAGTAGCTTTTTAACAGACTCCAAAAATCTGCAAAATGGAACTTAGGACCCACAGAGGCTTGTCTCATGTTTATTTTCAGTTGTATTTATTCTCATAACCTAGAGCTTGAGCTTACAGACAACTCAACATACTGCTGGCCTGTAGTGGTGGTTTCTCTTCTCCTTGTTATAACTACATGCTTTATGTTTTCCCATGAACAAAAATCAAAATTAAAAATAGGGCCCAGCGCAGTGTCCTAGCAGCTGAAGTCCTCACCTTGCATGCACCAAGATCCCATAAGGGCGCTGGTTCATGTCCCAGTCGCCACGCTTCCCATCCAGCTCCCTGCTTAAGGCCTGGGAAGCAGTCTAGGACAGCCCAAAGCCTTGGGACCCTGCACCCGCGTGGGAGACCTGGAGGAAGTTTCTGGCTCCTGGCCTTGGATCGGCGCAGCACCAGCCTTAGCGCTCACTTGGGGAGTGAATCATCGGACAGAAGATCTTCCTCTCTGTCTCTCCTCCTCTCTGTATATCTGACTTTGCACTAAAAATAAATAAATGTTTAAAAAATTAAACATTAAAAAAGTTAAGGATATTGTCATTCCTCAGCTGGTGCTCAAAGTTTAGTTAATTTCCAGTTATCTTTCCCACTCTAAAATGTTTTGCTCTGCAAGTAGTAATTAGTTACAGTATGCCACAGCTTACCAAAACATACCAGAAAAGAAACACTCTTCCAACATCATGATACTAATTAATGACCAAAACTAAGATTATATTTAGAAATATCACTAAATTTTACCTGAAGAAATATTGACAATTTCTTTAACAATGGCGTCCTGGGCCTCCTCATACTCAGATTTATTTTTGGTATATTCTTCATTTAAAGAACTTAATTTACTGCAAGTCAAGGTAATATATTATTAAAAACATATAAAATGTAATAAAGCATATTTTCATTCTGAATCATCAAGGCAGCAACAAAATTAGGACACAGTCACAAACTGGGCAACTCATTAGGGGCGGAAGCAGCTATAGTTGAGTTTATTAATGTGTTTTTATGTTGTCAGGAATAGTATACCAACACAGTCAGTACTATAACAAGCAAATAAATCCCTTGATTTATTCTGATGTGAAATATTCTGATATAAATTCTGAAATTTAAAAATTCTGATATAAACTAATTAAAATACAATCCTTACTAAGGAAGGAGGCCTTCCTGCCTCTTAAATGTGTACACACACATTTTTCTCTTTATTGTGCACCTTTTGACATTCAAAGTTTTCAAAAATAAAATGTTTTGCAAATAAATTTAATAATTTGAAATTGGTATTGCTTAAAGCCAAAATCCTGAAAAAATATGAGAATAAAATGAGGAAAACAATATTCACTGGCATTAAAAGGAAATAAAATGAAGAACAAAAACGAAGGGCTGACATTGTGGTAGAATGGGTTAAGCGGCCACTTGGGATGCCAACACCTCACATTTGGAGCCTCAGCTGGGTCTTGGCTGCTCTGTTTATGGTCCAGCATCCTGCTAATATGCCTGGAAAAGCAGTGGAAGATAGCCCAAATACCCAAGCCCTGCTACCACGTGGAAGACACAGATGCAGTTCCAGGACCATGGCTTTTTATTGGCCCAGCCCCGGCCACCTTGGATGAAAAACCATCTCTGAAACAAGACTAGCTAAAGGACAGTACAAGGCGATTAAGAGAACAAAACGACTACTCTAAAACAAGCAAATAAAAAGAATTAAAGGTTAGAAAAGCAAAGGGTAAAAATATTATAAAAGCGAAAACCTAGCGTGAAGAGATAAGCTGCAAAATCTCAAAAGTGAAGACAATAATCGGTCAAACTAAGCACTTGAGCTTTCATTTCGGATAAGGACTACAGGCTTTTATTTATTTTTTTTAAGAATAGAGATTTTAAATATTTACTTATTTTTATTGGAAAGGCAGGTATACAGAGAGGAGGAGAGACAAGGAAGAAGATCTTTCAGCCACAACGGATGGAGCTGAGCCAATCCCAAGCCAGGATCCAGGAACTTCTTCCGGGTCTCCCACATGGGAGCAGGGTCCCAAGGCTTTGGGCTGTCCTCGACTGCTTTCCCAGGCCACAAGCAGGGAGCTGGATGGGAAGTGGAGCTGCCGGGATTAGAACCAGCGCCCATATAGGATCCTGGCGCGTTCAAGGCGAGGACTTTAGCTGCTAGGCCACACCGCTGGGCCTGACTAAAGCCTTTTAAGAAGAAAAATTAAATAGCACAGTCACAACCCTGTAAGCATCCAATTTATTGATAAAAATTAATGAAACCTTAAAAGTTCCACCTTGTCTAAGCAAAAATATAAACCTTTATTGAAGTAGAAAATACATAACATCCTGGTAAAACAGATTAGATTGGGCAACAAAAGATCTTTGAACTCAGTATAATTGTAGCCTTAACTTCTTTATCTACAACTATAAATGCATAAATAAATGATCTGTAAATTACAGAGAATATTTAGGAGATGGAGGTATATGGCTATAGATTCCAGAACACAGAAATAAAATGACAAATACCCTCCCCTCCTTAAATCATCGAAGTGTTTCTAAGCTGTTCTGCTTCCAATCCAGCTTCCTGCTAATGCACCTGGGAAAGCAGCAGAAGATGGCCCAGGTACTCAGGGCCCTGCCAACCATATGGAAAACCCAGATGGATTTATGGACGCCTGGCCGTGGCCTGCCCAAGACCAGTCATGGAGGAAGGCACTTAACCACCAAATGGAAGATATCTCCCTGCGTGTCATTCTGCCTTTCAAATCACTATTAATCTTTAAAATAACATTCCTTTTTCACTAATGAGTAATTTGCCTCAGAAACTTTCCTAGATCAGCAAGAGGTAAAAAATAAAACTAAGATTTTTCTCAACATACAGTCATAGCCCAAAAGTTCAGTAAATGGACTTGTTAAAGCCATTCATCCAGGCCCATCGCCATGGCCTAGCAGCTAAAGTCCACACCTTGAACGAACCGGGATCCCATATGGGCACCAGTTCTAATCCCGGCAGCTCCACTTCCCATCTAGCTCCCTGCTTGTGGCCTGGGAAAGTAGTTAAGATGGCCCAAAGCCTTGGGACCCTGCACCCGTGTGGAAGACCCGGAAGAGGTTCCTGGATCCTGGCTTCGGATCAGCATAGCATCGGCCGTTGTGCTCACTTGGGGAGTGAATCATCGGACGAAAGATCTTCCTGTCTGTCTCTGCTCCTCTCTGTATATCTGACTTTCCAATAAATAAATAAATCTTAAAAAAAAAACCATTCATCCAACTGAAACATCAGAACTTAATGTGACAAATACCATTTTCCTAGGAAAAATTAAGTGAAAAATACTAAAACAGAAACATGATGTTTATGTATATAATATAAAACAGAAAAATGAATAACTAGCTCTAACAGAAAAGGAAACATTATGAAATAATACAATCTACTCTGCATTTGCAAAAGAACAAGTAGAACGGAAGTGAAAGAGTAGTATTAAAAATAGATTGAAAATATCATTTCAGTTGGTGAGGAAGTGCTGGATTGTTTGTCAAATGGTACTGGGACACTTGACTAGTCTCTTGGAAGAAAATAAAACTCGACTTACCAATAAACAAGGTAAAGCTTTCTTATAATACAGCATTCACACTCACCAGAAAATCCATGGAATTATTGAAAACTTAAAATTAGTGTCTTGATTTACAAACCTGTTAGTAAATTTCACACCATTCTTCTGGATATCTACTGTACTGAAGTTTTTATTGTTACGAAGGACTTTCTCTTCCTTGCAGGTTACTCGAAAGTAATATCCAAACTGTGCACTAGAATCTAGTTTTATCTGTTTGCCAGGGTCCAAGCCTTCAGCATGGGAAGAAGGGAGAAGTTTGTCATAAATCTCTACAGCGACCATTCAAGTAAATGTTTACAATCACTAAACCTCAACAGTGCAATACATACTTCCATTCCATGATGTGTACTGGAAACAACTGGAAAAAAAATCCAATTCAATCAAACTTCACTCAGAAACTACATAATTTAAATCTATTAAATTCTTACACTCTTTGTAATATGAAAGCTGCTTTTTGAGTTAAAAGCAGCATATTTAATTCCAAAATGGAATTCAATTAATTTTAACTGTAGAAACAGATGTTAGTCATTAATTTGCTCTTGAGCATTCGACAAAACAGACCAAGAGCAGGCAGTAATTAATGTACACTGGGAAACATTTTAAATAGAATTCCTTCTCCATAATACCAAACCATGAATCAGGAATCCGTAAGTATTTGAATTTCCCAGTAAGTTTAAACAAATCACTAAAGGAGAATGTCACTGAGTCCTTAGAATTCTACCTAATCTGGCCGTGCAAGGAAGCTTAGTGGCTAATGTCCTTACCTTGCACATGCTGGGATCTCACTGGGCACCAGTTCATATCCCAGTGGCCCTACTTCCTACCCAGCTTCCTCCTTGTGGCCTGGGAAAGCAGGTGAGGATGACCCAAAGCCTTGGGACCCTGCACCATGGTGGAGACCCAGAAAAAACTCCTGGCTCCTGGATTTGAAAAGACTCAGCTCTAACCACTGCAACCACTTTGGAGAGAATCAATGAACAGAGCTTCCTCTCTGCTTTCTCTCCTCTCTATATATCTGACTTTCCAATAAAAATAAATAAATCTTAAAAAAAAATCCTTAAGAAGGGGCCAGAACCATACTATAATAAAGTTGAGCTTCTGCTGTGGAGTTGGCATCCCATATGAGTGCCAGCTCAACCAGATGGTTCAAGGCACAGGTACTCTACTTTCCACCTAGTTCCCTCCTAATGCGCCTGGGAAAATGGTGGCAGATGGCCCAAGTACTTGGTTGGGCCCCTGCACCTATGTGGCAGACTTGGAAGAAGCTCCAATCTCCTGGCTTAGGATTGGCCCAACTCCAGCCACTGTGTTAACTGAAGTGAACCAGCGGTCAGAAGACCTATTTTTCCTTCTCCCTCTATAAATCTGCCTGTCAAATAAAAATAAATATTTTCAAAAAATCGCTAAGAAAACACAACAATGATTCTAACTGAAGATACTTAAACTCTTGAGTGTCAAGATCCTCAGCTATGAAATGAGGAGAGCTGGTTTTTGTGATCATTTGTAGTGTAGTCTTTATCAGCACACTCCAAGAAAACTGCCAGGCTGCTGCTGTGAGCTCTGCTTGTGATGGCATATCCCATACTGGAGTGCCAGAGAGAGTGCTGGTGTAAGCTGGGGCTGCTCTGCTTCCAATCCAGCTTTCTGCCACACACACAAAGCAGACCAAGATGGAATTTCTGACTCTTGGCTTCAGTCTGGCACATATCTCGCTGTTGTAGTTTTTTTTGTTTTGTTTTGCTAATTTTTGTTGTTTTTAAAAAATTATTTATTTTCACTGGGAAGACAGATTTAAAGAGAGAAGGAGAGACACAGAGAGGTCTTCCATCCAATGGTACATTTCTGAAGCCGCAACAGTCGAAGCTGAGCCAATCTGACGTCAGGAGCTAGGAGCTTCTTCCAAGTCTTCCCCTTGAGTGCAGGTGCCAAGGTTTTGGGTCATCCTCCACTGCTTTCCCAGATTTAAGCTAGGAGCTAGATTATAAGTGAAGCAGCCAGGACATGGACTGGTGCCTATACTGAATGTCAGCACTGCAGGCAAAATACTAGCCCAATGAGTCATTGCTCCGGCTCCATGTTGCAGACCTTTTAGAAGTGAACTAGTAGATTCAGAATCTTTCTGTTTCATTTTCTGTCACGCTTTCAAATATGTGTCAAAAAATGAATAAATAAAATGATCTCCCACATTTTTGTTAATGTAGATGTGGGTATATATTCCTATGAAAAGAATATATAAAAATCATCAGATTCTCTGAAAGTTTAAACCTAACTGCCCCCAAAGGGTTTTTCTCATTCAAATATTTTAGGATTCATTGACTCATTCAAACAAGCCTAACTTGTATAACACATGAAGACATTTAATAACTGGAATCACCCTAATGAATTAATAATCTCACAGGGAAGACAGACATTACTTGTGTGACACAGCACAATGAAATGACTATGGTCCATAATAACCTATCACAACCTTTCTAAGAAAATAGAATAGAAGCTCCAAAGCTCAAACCATAAATGACAGAGGGAAGACGCTATTCATCCTGATTTGATCAATACACACTAAAATATCACGTTATATACTCCACAGATATGTAAAATTATTTTAAATTCAAACATGTCTCAATTAACATCTCAAAATGTAAGTAAATTTTAATCACAGAAAAAAAAGTTGATATTAATGACACCTTTGGAAAACCTAAAGGTAACTCAATGAAATATTCCTGGGAGAATCAGGAAATAGAGCTTATTTTAATCATGTCATGCAAAGACACACAGGCACACTTCTGTTGAGCAGAAATGTGTGATCATCTTGAAAGTGGGAAATTAGCAAAACAATCTCAAAACAGTGTGGATACTGCATAGATGCCCACCCCCCAAAAAAATCCACCCACCACCAAAAAGATCCATTTTTACCAAGATCTCTGGCTGCACTTATCAATGTTGATTGCATCTTCTTTTCCAAGTCATCCATTACTTCTCTTAACTCACTCAGATTCGGATCAAATGAAGGCTTCACAAGGAACTCATGGTTTTCCACCTGAAAGTAGAACAAAGATTGGCTGCACTGTGAAAACAATGAAGATGATAATCATGAGGCAAGTACTTTTTCCTGCTTTAAATTTGAGTAATATTTTAAGTTAAAATATTCTCTATCTTTTAGTCAAAAACTATTGAGAAGTTTCAATTCATTAAGAAACAGAGCTGTTGGGCCCGGCGCAGTGGCGCAAGTGGTTAAGGTCCTCGCCTTGCACGCCCAGGATCCCATATGGGCGCCGGTTCTATCCCAGCAGCCCCGCTTCCCTTCCAGCTTCCTGCCTGTGGCCCAGGAAAGCAGTCAAGGACGGCCCAAAGCTTTGGGAACCTGCACCCGCATGGGAGACCCGGAAGAGTCTCCTGGCTTCGGATTGGCATAGCATCGGCCGTTGCACTCGCTTGGGGAGTGAATCATCGGAGGGAAGACCCTCCTCTCTGTCTCTCCTCTCTTTGTATATCCTCCTTTCCAATAAAAAAAATAATAATAATAAAAATAAATCTTAAAAAAAAAAAAGAAACAGAGCTGTTAAACTGCCACATAGGTTACATGCATCCCATACTGCAGTGTCTGGGCTCAAACCCCAGCTGATTCTCCAACTCATGTTCCTGTTAATTAGCACCCTGGTGAGCAACACTGATAGGTCCCTGTCACCACGAGGGAATCCAAGATTTGTAATAAGAATTTAAAACTGTTTGTTTTTTCCATGGTGCTGTAATTTGTTGTTGTTGTTGTTGTTGTTGTTGTGGCTGTTCTAACTCAGACCAGTTATTGACCTTGTTTCATGGCTTCTCACTTATGGTAATGCATAGTGATAGAGATCTGGAATCTATCATATACAGACATGGGGGGTATAATGGAACATGCATCCCTGCATCCAAATGAAAGATGGATTCCAAATGAAAACTGTTGGACATGTGCAGACAATAGGATGCTGGACTGTCCCACACTGTCTGTACCAACAATGCCTGGGGTATACTTAAATAAAAGACTGATCGAATTATGATTCCTTATGAAGGACTACACTAATGTAACAAAATGGGAAAAATCTGACGAAGGGTGGGAGTTTGGGGGCAACCCCAGCCTATACAAAATTGTACCACATAATTCAAAATTCAAAATAAAAATATATTAAATATTTGTTAAAAACAGAATTTAAAACTGGGCCAGTGCAGTAACCTAGCAGCTAAAGTTCTCATGTTGCACACCCTGGGGTTCCTATATGTGTAAGTTTGTGTCCTGGCAGCCCCACTTCCCTGCTTGTGGCCTGGGAAAGCAGTTGAGGACAGCCCAAAGCCTTGGGACCCTGCATTAGTGTGAAGGACCCAGAAAAAGCTCCTAGTTTCAGATTGGCTCATTTATAGAGAGGAGAGACAGAGAGAGAGCTAAGTCTTCCATCCATTGGTACATTCCCCAAAATGGCTGCAAGAGACAAAGCTGAGCCAATCTGAAGTTAAGAGCCGTTGCAGCTGCTTGGGGAGTGAATCATCTGATGCAAGGTCTTCCTCTCTGTACATCTGATTTTCCATTAAAAAAAAACTACTTTAAAAACAAAAATTTAAAACTGAGGGCCACTATTATGGTATAGCAGGTAAAGTCTCCATCTGCGGTACAGGCTTCCCATGTACTGACTGGTTCAAGTCCCAGCTGCTTCACTTCTGATTTAGCTCCCTGCTAATAACTGGGAAGGAAGCAAAAGATGGTCCACGTACGTGGGTTCATGCACTCTCATGTGGGACTCAGAAAAAACTCTCGATTCCTAGCTTTAGGCTGGGCTAGTTCAGGCCATTTTTTCCCATTTGGAGAGTAAATTAGCAAATGGAACAAATAAATAAACCAACAGTTATTTCTTGAAACAAAACAAAACAAAACAAAACAACCCTCATTATTTAAATACACTATTCTTGGTAGGACTTTTGTATTTTTACTTAAAAGGTAGAGCTAGAGAGAGGGAAAGACAAACAGAGATTCTTCCATTTGTTTCACCAAATCATAATATAAGAGATCTCATTTTTACAATAGAAAAAAATGTATAAAATACTTAAACATAAAACCTTGGTAATAAATAACTCTTACAAAGCTAATTAATGCTGGAAGATTTAAAAGAACTAAAGACAGAAACTATACTTAATCTTAGCCAAAAGGACAAAAAGTCGTGAAAAGATAAAACAAAATCAGAGCTTAACAGCTGTTCATTCTTACTCACTATTCAATAAGAATCCTTTATTGAAACAAAACAAAATGACTAAACTTTGAAAAGAACATTTAAAAAAAGAAACGAAGCTTATCCTTATGAGGCATTAAAAAGGCAAATTATACATAAAAGCTTAATGTAAGAGTCAATTTTCTAATACAACATGACAAAAAACTCAACAAATGAGATTGAGATAAATTGCTTCTAATAACCTTTCATTTAATCATAGGACAACTTCACACACTAAAAGTGAACAATCAAGGAATAATTAAAAACAAATTATAGAAAAGTAGCAAAAAGAGAAGAAAATATTTATAGAAATAACTTTTCTCAATTTAAATCAAGAATCAACGATAAGATATTAAACTTCAAAAATCTTAAGTTTAATCTCCTGAAAGATAAGGCTTATAGAAACTCTTTTATAAAATATAAAAATACAAAGGTGAGCATTTTCCTTTGTGAAGGTTTCTGCTTTCATGGATAAGAAAACACCAGTCTTTAAAGGGACAAGCAAAAAACTTAACTCACAATGAGAAAATAAGTAGTCAAGCAACACACAGAAAAATGCTGTAATAATAAAAGGAATATTTAAGCAACCTTGAGATATTTTTCTAGAATACAAGCAGTGATCATACTACAGTTCTTCCTTTGTCACAAAAGAAACAGAAATAGGCCTGAGGGAATGGCTCAGTTGATTCCACATAGGCACCGATTCATGTCCTGGCTGCTCCATTTCCCATCCAGCTCCCTGCTTGTGGCCTGGAAAAGTAGTGGAGGATGGCCCAAAGCCTTGGGACCCTGCACCCAAAAGTTCTGATTCCTGGCTTCAGATCGGTTCAGCTCTGGCCATTGTGGCCCTTTGGGGAGAGAAACAACAGGTGTAAAGTCATTCTCTTGGACTCTCCTCTCTAAAATCTGACTTTCCAATAAAAATAAATAAATAAAAATTTTAAAAAAGGAAAGAAAGAGAGAAAAGAAAAAAAAAGAACAAGACAAAATAGACACAGAAGAAGGAAGGGAAGGAAGGCAGGAAAGAAAAACAAACAGAAATTACTACCAAACACTAGCAAGGGTTTAATGGCCTTAGCACACACACTGACTTCTGGTGAGAGTCTAAGTTGCCATAACTCTTATTAAAAGTAAGGACATTAGGCATCAAGATTCAGATATTTCATATATACTCTGTCATAGCATGTCTACTCCTAGAAATTCAATCTAAGTAAATAATGTGACAGAAAATAACAGTTGCACATTTGCAAATTTATCTGTTACAGTAAAACTTGAAAAACATATTTGCACAATGGTGTATCAGCAGAATAGAATATTTTAGAGTTTTTAAACAGACAACAAAGATTATCTCCAAACAAAGACCAAGGCTCATAATAAAGGCAGGAAAACAATAGTGTCACAATGGAATTGTTTTAACGCAGCTGAACAAGGTGGTGCCAGGTTTCTCTCCTCCCATCTTCCAGAAACCATCTGGTAAGTCAACAAGACCCTAAGAATTCTTACTTGTTATCCCAGCTCCTAAGAAGTAGAGGGAATCCTAACATTTCCCCTCCTTAGGTAGGAAAGACCTCTGACAGGGCTGTTGGGTAGATGCATGTAAAATCAGGGAGACATGAACAACTTGATTCTAACTGAAGAAAGTCTCTAAGAGTTGGGCATCCTTTAGCCACTCTATCACCATTCCCCAGACAACGTGGAACAACAATTACATCACCAGCAAGGTACTCCTATCTCGCTCTGAGGTACTCAAACAGGCACAACAAATGACTGTTCTCATTTTTCACCTACCTTGGCACTATAAACAGTCTTACACTAAGTTACTCAAATAGGGACAGAACAAAACCTGAAACTAATGAATGATGAAACCAAAAATGAGATGAAAAGAATGGGGAAGGGATATATAGCAAAAAAAAAACACATTGCTGAATTAAATTATATATATTTATACAGTAGCGAACCAATATAATGACAGTGGGCATAAAAGATACAGCAATGGGAAAAACCACAGGGTTTTCCTCCATTAGAAAATGGGGCTTTCTTTTGCTCCCTGGCTTGTGTCACTGTCCTCCCATTTAGTCTCTTAGGGCATACCACCTCCCTCTCCAATCCTGGGTTGGTTGTTGTACCCTACATCTCTTCCTTTGTGTCTCCTATGAAGTGGAAAGTCGTCCTAAGTTTTAAAGGGGACAAGAATGAGAAGATGTAATATCTTTCTCTTGCTCTCTGTCACTGCCTTTACAAAATAAAAAGTAATCTGAGGGCCTGGCGGCGTGGCCTAGCGGCTAAAGTCCTCGCCTTGAACACCCCCCGGGATCCCATATGGGTGCTGGTTCTAATCCCAGCAGCTCCACTTCCCATTCAGCTCCGTGCTTGTGGCCTGGGAAAGCAGTCGAGGACAGCCCAAAGCCTTGGGACCCTACACCCATGTGGGAGAACTGGAAGAAGTTCCTGGATCCTGGCTTCGGATCAGCATAGCATCGGCCGTTGCGGTCACCTGGGGAGTGAATCATCAGACAGAAGATCTTCCTCTCTGTCTCTCCTCCTCTCTGTATATCTGACTTTCCAATAAATAAGTAAATCTTTAAAAAAAAAAAAAGAAAGAAAAAAGATACTACTTTAAAATAGCAGATACTGGGTAGAGTTAAAAAGAAACCAGTAACTTTTTAAGGAGACTGATTTATTTACTTGGGAAAGTCAGAATTACAGAAACAAACATGAAAAAAAAGTTTTTTTAACTTTTAAAATCTTTACCTGTGTAATTTTTAAATTTCAAGCATTTATTAGAGAAAGAGAACAAGGAAGT